ACGAAAATTTTCTCAAGGGTGGGCGGAGCCGGCCCGAGCGGGCCGGGCCGGGGCGGGCCAAAACCGGCCCGGGATTTGGCAAGTCTGGTAAAAGCTCGGCCTACGGCCTCGCCCATAGAAAAAGGCGTAGATAATTGTGGCGGAATCGGAAATAGTAAGTTTGTATAAAAATTTTTCAACTTTTCACAAGAAGCGGTACTGTGCGCGTAGACGCACTTTTAAAAATCTAAAAAAATGTGGTTCGGGTCTTGGTCAGCGAGTACTACAACTTGTCAGAACACGCCTAACCACGAAAACCAGTCGCTGGCGAGATAAAAAAATAAATAAAAAAACTTTTTTTAATTTTTTTATCTCAAAATTGGCCATATGAAAGTTACTGAAAAAAAGTTGGAGTGTATACACGGGGCGGACACGAAAAAGGGTGATTTTTTAGAAAAAAAGTTGTTGAAGGAAAAAAAAGTTATGACGTGGCAAATATTTCAATCGATAATTACGGGTTACTGTAGGTGGCCAAAATTCGTCGAAAAATTCTCGCAGATGCCGCCTATGATGATGCACATGGGGGAGAAGAGTGCTCGCGGTAGGATGAAAATGAACAAAGTTATGACGTTTTCAAGTTTTTCGAAAATGCACTTTGATCGATAATATCTCGCGAGCCGAGCGTCTAATCAAAAAACTAAAGATAGGGTGTCCCCCTAATTTTTTGAGCTCTATCGAATGATATATATTGAGCCTAGGTTTGGAGACATGACCCTCTCTAGCTCATACCAAATACGCAGGCTACGCCTGCGCCTAAGCCTAAGCCTAAGCCTAAGCCTAAGCCTAAGCCTAAGCCTAAGCCTAAGCCTAAGCCTAAGCCTAAGCCTAAGCCTAAGCCTAAGCCTAACTCGTTCTTTCCTCCTTTTTTGCTTTGTTTCACAGAGTGAAACAATAGACCATTTGGCCTTAGCACTCTTCTTCTGCTCATAGTACCTCCAGCTCATAGCACCCCACCCTCTCCTGCCCTCCAGCTCAAAGGGTAGCAGTCATGAGATTCGACTCGCTCGCTTCGCTCGCTTCGTCTGGCCGTGTTTTTCTCCGATCTTTGTAAGACCAAATCCGCCCCGCACCTCACGCTTATCCTTATCGCAAAAAATTATTAACGTCAATGAACGGGCCAAGCCAGTTCACGTACGTTCATCGAAAAAAACACGTTCATCGGAAAAAATACGTTCATCAAAAAAAACACGTTCATCGAAAAAAATATGTTTATCGGAAAACATGGGGAGAAACGGGACTCACTATGGAAAAAAAACTGACTTACGAGTATAGTGTTAACCTGCCGAAGAACCAATGAGCATCTGGTCGGGATTGAAAAGATAATGCGTAGCGAAGTACGACGAACAAAGTCTTTCAGTCTCTTTCAGAGTGGAAAAAAATAAATGAGTGACTAGTATATGCAGAAGAGTATATGTTTCAAGTTAAAAAGAAAAAAAAAGGTGGAAATAACGTACAGTGTATGGTCCAAGATTGTCGGCTTCTTGAACCGGTGCTGAAGGTTGCACAGAGTACATCTTTAGAAAGGAGTGTGAATGGGAAGAAAGCCACTATGCGAATGTCGGCTCCTGTTGTAGCAGCTATCGTGTCAGACCCAGGAGTAGAACGAAAAACGTAATAATTTTTTGCGATAAGGATAAGCGTGAGGTGCGGGGCGGATTTGGTCTTACAAAGATCGGAGAAAAACACGGCCAGACGAAGCGAGCGAAGCGAGCGAGTCGAATCTCATGACTGCTACCCTTTGAGCTGGAGGGCAGGAGAGGGTGGGGTGCTATGAGCTGGAGGTACTATGAGCAGAAGAAGAGTGCTAAGGCCAAATGGTCTATTGTTTCACTCTGTGAAACAAAGCAAAAAAGGAGGAAAGAACGAGAAAAAGTGGCGGCCGCTTCGCGGCCCGTTCTTTAAGTCTATGAATGAAAAGTTAGGAAAAGGGGAGAAATGAGTGGTTCATGCGAAAAATGGTTACGTGTCTGCAGACATCGAAATTGAGACGAGCTTTGTCTGCAAAAAAAAGTGTTGAGGAAGAAGGGGAAGAGACGGGACGCGAAAACTAACTTTGATTAGCAAAAACTAGGTGGTATTTAGGCGAAAGGAAAACGTGCGATTGGATAATAACCACTCCGCTACATTTTGAGCATTTTGATCGTTGGGGACACCTTATGGATCAAGTTATGAGTTATGGATCAAAGAATCAACTGCACTCAAACGCTGTTCTGAAAAAAACCATCGCAAAAAAAATTCATGTGTTGATGAAGAATTTCCGCATACACTATGAGGAACTACAGTTGGCAACTTTAATCTCTTCAAAAATCAACATTTCAAAACAATTTCGTCAAAAAATACAAGAAAAAAGAAAGAAAAAAGAAAAAGCAAAACGAGGGAGTCGAGCCCGTGACCACACTCCCCTCATCACCACCGTTAACTCCTGCGCCACTCGACCACATTTTCGTAGGGTGTTGCGGGCGATGACAATTGTGGCGCATGGCGAGGGTGTGAGGGTGGGTCGCCGCGCCACCAAAATGCGAAATGTATGGTTAAGAAATGTCAAACTTCGGACTGGAATTTCAGCATCTCAGAGGTCTCGTAAGCAGCCTTTGAAAACTGGAATATAGGTTTTGAAAGTCCCTTTTTCGAACTGTGTCGTTCGTTTGTGCTGGAGATAACATCCACTTAAATGGTTCCCTTGTAAGCAAAAGTGTAAAAGCTCGGCCTACGACAAAAAAAGCACAAGAGACTACTCGCATGTCTACTTACATGTCTACAAACAAAAATAAAAGGAAAAAATGTTTTTTAATAAAATAAAAAAAAAAAAAAAACTTTGACAATTTTTTTCTCGAAAAAAAATCCGGCAATTTTTCTTAAAATTTCAGAATCGGCATAAAAAAAGGCGTAGATAATTGTGGTGGAGTCGGAAATAGTAAGTTTGCATGAACATTTTTCAACTTTTCACAAGAAGCGGTACTGTGCGCGTAGACGCACTTTTAAAAATCTAAAAAAATGTGATTCGGGTCGCGGTCAGCGAGTACTACAACTTGTCAGAACACGCCTAACCACGAAAACCAGTCGCTGGCGAGATAAAAAATAAATAAAAACTTTTTAATTTTTATCTCAAAACTGGCCATATGAAAGTTACTGAAAAAGTTGGAGTGTATACACGGGGCGGACACGAAAAAAAGGGTGATTTTTTTAGAAAAAAAGTTGTTGAAGGAAAAAAAGTTATGACGTGGCAAATATTTCAATCGATAATTACGGGTTACTGTAGGTGGCCAAAAATTCGTCGAAAAAAATTCTCGCAGATGCCGCCTATGATGATGCACATGGGGGAGAAGAGTGCTCGCGGTAGGATGAAAATGAACAAAGTTATGACGTTTTCAAGTTTTTCGAAAATGCACTTTGATCGATAATATCTCGCGAGCCGAGCGTCTAATCAAAAAACTAAAGATAGGGTGTCCCCCTAATTTTTTGAGCTCTATCGAATGATATATATTGAGCCTAGGTTTGGAGACATGACCCTCTCTAGCTCATACCAAATACGCAGGCTACGCCTGCGCCTAAGCCTAAGCCAACAATGCTCCAATTTTTCTATTTGATAGAGCAACTTACTGGTATGCAAGTTGAAAATGTTATAGATCCTGGAAGAGCAACACTTTTAAAAGGTTTACTTACTTATTCTTCCACAATGAATAAACAAAATACATTTGGATGCATGGATACTTGAAACAAAATATATTCTTCAATACAAAATAGATAAATACACAAAAAATAGAAAAGGTAATCTAACATTTTCTATTCCATTGACTCATATTTTTGGTTTTGCTGAATGTTACAATCGAATAATTTATGGAAGAAAGCATACTTTAGGACTCTATAGATCTCCAGAAAACAAGAATTCTTGTCTTCAGAAACTTTAAATTGTTCAGTACTCCAATTTGGAAGATATCCTTTATCGAAAATAGCTTTATACTTTGTAATTCTGACAGTGTCTCCTACTTTGAATTTCGCTTTGCTCAAGACCATCGGGAATTTTGTATTCACTTTTTCTATTTTTTCTACACCTAGATCCTCTGGATCGACTTTGGGAAATAAGTTATTGTAAACTACCGATTCATTTTCTATTGTGCAAACGAGTGTGCAAACGCGATCCACGGATGACTTCACAAAAATCCGGCATAAAACAGTTTGAGAAAGCGAACAGAGCTCAAATGTGAATAAAACACAGTTTTTCCCATATTTTACAGTTTTACCGTAAAATAAACTTTTACGGATATTTTTTTACGGAGAGCCGCAAAAATCAGTTCCCACGAAAAAACCCGTAAAGTCCGTAAATTCCGTAAACGTAGAATTCCAGTCCTGGACTCCCGCCCTCTCTATTTTTTCTAAGTGGAGTTTATCCTGTGCACAGCTGTGGGTTTCAAAAAATATCGTAGTTTCGTTTTCCGTTTTTCCTTAAAACTCCAACTCTTCTTCGTTGAAATTGGTAGCTTCAAATTGAACCTTATGTGGTTTTTTGAAGGGGGCGCTTAACTTGTTTTTTTTTGTGGTTTTTGGGTGTTTCCTCATACTGGCCCCTTGTCAAGCTTTTTCGCAACGCAGGGCAAATTTATCGACGTCGTGCTCGACACCCTGTGCTTATTTTTTTCGACTTGAAACGGAACCTCGCACTTGTAGCCAGTTGTGCTCCTCTTCGTTATCAGCTCGACCAAGATGGAGCAGTCGACATTGTTTGATAACGGCGCATTATTATATCGCTCGCGTTTTAAAAATCTCCGCTCATGCTTTCAATCATTTCTGTCTTTTTGTCGTACAAAATGTTCTCTACTTTTACTTACTCTTTTATGTAATAGACTGATCCATGTATTCAATTGTTGGTACACCTAACAATACTCGAAGAAAATAATACACCTAATAAGACTTGAAGAAAAGAGCTTTACAAAAATGATTACCTGCAGGTGATTCTCTTCTCGATGCCGCCGTCCTATCAAATAATTGAGCATGATGTGCCGCAATCTTACCGGTAACTATTTTTATCCTTAATTTATTTAATTCTTCACCTACTAATTTCATGAATTAAGAGATGAAATATTGAAATGGAACGGTTGGGGATACACCGATTCTCAGTTTGCTATAAACAAACAAGGACATGTTACATTCACTGGAAAAAAGTAGGAGAAACATATGAAATTATTTTGGAAAACCTCAGTTTGAGGTACGATATCTCTGGAAAAGTTATGCCTCATTTTCGGCCATGGTTTGAAAACTATCTCGGAATAGATCTTGACTTCAGTACTCCTACACAGAAACTATCAGATGTTGTTATCGACGCTCCAATAGAGAGCGAGGATATTATTGAATTTTTGCGTGAGAACAGCATTTCATTCTCAAACGCTCCCAAAATCCGACTTATGCGAGGCCACGGACATACAGTTCATGACATGGTCAACTTGAGAGAAGGAAAAATTCCACGCCTTCCTGACATTGTTGTGTGGCCAAAAACTGAACAAGATATAGTCAAGGTGACCGATCACTGCAGAGTGCACAGAAGTTCCTAGGAAAGTCTTTCAGATTATTGAAGGAGCTATGAGTCATAACTGCGCAATAATTCCAATTGGAGGAGGCACTTCGGTAACTAATGCTCTTGACTGCCCAACCAGTGAAAAGCGTGCTATTCTGTCACTTGATATGGCTCTTCTTGACACTATTCTGTGGATCGACCGTGAGAATCTTACATGTCGTGCACAAGCGGGCATAATCGGTCAATCTCTCGAGCAACAACTCAACAAAAAAGGCTTTACGTGTGGACACGAACCGGATTCTATTGAGTTCTCGACGTTAGGTGGATGGGTATCTACTAGAGCTAGCGGAATGAAAAAAAACAAGTTACTCAATGAACCGTGTTCCAGAAAAATACCATTTTTAGATACGGAAATATTGAAGACCTTGTTGTACATATCAATTTTGTATGTCCGAAAGGAATAATCCAGAAGCAATGCCAAGTTCCGCGCATATCTTCGGGACCTGATATTCATCAAATTATTCTCGGATCAGAAGGAACGCTCGGAGTTGTCTCAGAAGTGACCATAAAAATTTTTCCGTTGGCAGAAGCCAAACGTTACGGTAGCTTCGTGTTCCCAAACTTCGAGCACGGAGTGAATTTCTTCCGTGAGGTAGCGTGCCGAAGAATCCAGCCCGCATCTTTAAGACTTATGGATAATGATCAATTTGTGATGGGGCAAGCTTTGAAAGTTGCGTCAAACTCATGGTGGAATAGTTTGAAAAGTTCTGTTAGCAAAATGTACATTACTACTTGGAAAGGTTTCAAACCGAATGAAGTATGTGCAGCGACATGCGTTTACGAAGGAACTTACGATGAAGTTGTTCAACAAGAAGACCGCTTAAATAAGCTGGCCGCTGATTTTCACGGAGTTGTTGGAGGGGAGGAAAATGGCCAATATGGGTATCGATTGACCTTTGCTATCGCATATTTGAGGGTAAGCTGATTATATGCAGTATGCTTTTTGTGAATATAGACAATTTTCACCAAAAAAAATTTACTGTCTTTTATTTTTTGCGGCTCTACCGTATAACTGCCGCAAGCCACAAATGTGGAACTTCGTCTTGAGCAGTGTGTGGTTTCGGAAGAATGAAACTCGAAAGAGGCTGATTTCGAAGGAATTGCGATTTCTGTCGACAGATTCTCTCGTATTTCTTGCGAGAGAAAACCGATTTTCTTCCGGAAGATTCTCTCGCATTTCTTTCGGAAGAAACGCGAGAGAATCTGTCGATTTTCTTTCGATAGAAATTCAAAAGAAATTCGGCAGATCTGCCGAAAGAAATTCGGTTTTTCCTTTTTTTAAATCTTTTAAATAAATTTTTTCACAGCCTGAAAAAAATTTAAAAAAAAAGAAAAAAAATGTAATAATTTATTTTTTAATTAAAAAAAAATTTTTTTTTCACTGACTGAAAAAATTAAATCGAATTAATGTCGTTAAAATCTCGCTTTTCTTTCGAGAGATCTTGCGAAAGAAATTCGGTTTTAAGTTACTGATCTAAACGCGACCTAATTAGATTCGACTGTCTTTTCTTGACGCAATCGCGATTTGAGCCAGCAGACGGTTGGCGTGAAACTTGATTTGAGCACTTATTAATCTAGCTAGAAGATTTATTAATCTAGCTAGACAATTTATTAATCTATCACACACTAGTCTCGAGTAGGCGAATGTAATGTCGAGAGTCGAAAAAATATATATTGAAGGTGTGATGCACGAAAAAAGTGACATATTTTTAAAGTGAAGTTTAAAGTGGGGGATTTATGTTCCCAAAGTATCAAATTTTGAAAAAAATTTCCTGAATTTTGGTGCATTTTCCAAGAAAGCTAATAGTAAGGAGACAGCGAGAAGGACACGGCGGGTGGAGTTTTCTAGTCCCCGGCCGCCGAATTTGAAAAAAGTTTGAATCCGTTTCGCTGTCCTCGAGGCCATCCATAAAGACACAAAAATATCGAATTTTAGGGTCAGAAGCGAAAGTCTAGCAGAATTATGCGACTGCCGCACGAAAAATCGACAACCGCGTGTCAGAGTTAAGCGGAAGAACTTAACGGAAGAACACGGAAGAATTTGTATATTTTTTAGAAAATTTTTTCATGGAATGTGATCAACTGACGAAATGTATAACAAAGTGAACTCTGCTCATAGAAAAATAATTGTAAATTTAAATTTTCATACAAAAAAGTTATTCGAGTTGTTCCGTGAAAATCCTTCCGTCTTCCGTTAGCCCTTTTTTCACGCAACAACTCGAATTTTCAATACATTTCGCCAGTTGATCACATTCCATGAAAACATTTTCTAAAAAAGATAAAAATTCTTCCGTGTTCTTCCGTTGAGTTCTTCCGCTCAACTCTGCCGCGTGTACTTCTCGTGGTCTCCTTAGCTTTTTTTTGCAAGAATTCACCAAAATTCGGAAAAAATTTTATGGGCTCGTTGCCAACTACGATTCTGATGTCGAACTTTTTTTTTCAACAGTAACTCACTTATTCCAGACTTGCAACGGGCCGGGCCGGGCCAAAATTGGAAATTTTCCGGCTCGGCCCGGCCCGGCCTAGCCCGGCCCGGGAGGATGCACCTAAAAATTCAAAGCGAACTAGAACTTCGAAACGAACATAATTTTATAGACTTAAAATTTTATAGACTTAAAAAGGCAATGTTATAGCATAAAAACCTGTTAAAAAATAGAAATTGCTGTTTAAGAGGCAATGTCTGAGAAGTTCAAATACTGCAGGTCACTAAAAATTCAGAATGCTTCAATTTGTCCCATATTATACCAAATGGGTACTTACATAACAATCATACATCAGACAAGTTTTGGTCCGGCTCCGTGGTCCCTTGTCCGATCACGGTCACAAAAATAGGTCAAACCTGTAACTAATTTCAAAAATGCTAGCGTCTCAGACTCAACGCCATTGGATTCTTCGCATCTTTTTTTGAGTATATTTCATGTTGGCACCAAAAATTTGGCACCTCTCCTTTATGGAGAACAAAATTGGTTTGTGACATTTTTCAGAAAATGTTTCAGTTTTCTGCTCGTCATGAAAAATTTTAGCACTACATAGCCATGATTTTATTGCTGATTCTGAATCTAGACATTATTGTGCTTCTGCAAAAAAAAAGTTCACCCCGATCCCAATTGACATCAAGGGGTTTTTTGGCCGAAATTCACAAAATTTAGAGTACTTTTGCATGGAAAAATGTTCGCGAACTTGAGAAAAGTGCGTTTTCTCAATTTTCAAAGGGGCCTGATCGCGATATTTGTTGTTTTTCGTATACTTTTAGGCATTCTTGATTTTTTTGAAGCATTTCGAAAAATTAATTTTTTTCTCGAAAATTTTGTCATGACCCCCGGGTCGACGACTTGGTCTAATTTTTTTATTAATTTTCAAAAATGCTTCCAAAAAAATCGAGAATGCCTAAAAAGTATACGAAAACAACAAAAATCGCAATCAGACCCCTTAGAAAATTGAGAAAACGCACTTTTCTCAAGTTCGCGAACATTTTTCCATGCAAAAGTACTACGAATTTTGTGAATTTCGGCCTAAAAACCCCTTGATGTCAATCAGGATCGGGGTGCACTTTTTTTTTGCCGACGCACAATAACGTCTAGATTCAGAATCAGCAATAAAATCATGGCTATGTAGTGTTAAAATTTTTCAGGACGAGCAGAAAACTGAAAAATGTTCTGAAAAATGTCATAAAACAATATTTTTCTCCATGAAGGAGAGGTGCTAAATTTTTGGTGCCAACATGAAAAGTGCTTAAAAAGATGCGAGAAATCGAATGGTGTTGAGTCTGAGACGCTAGAATTTTTTTGAAATTAGTTACAGTTTTTACCTTTTTTGGGATCGTGATCGGACTAGGGACCACGGAGCCGGATCAAAGCTTGTCTGATGTATGACTGTTATGTAAGTACCCATTGGGTATAATATGGGACAAATTGAAGCATTCTGAATTTTTAGTGACCTGGTGTAATTAGCGAATTTCGAGGTTCTCAGACATTGCCTTTTAAAGTCGCAAAATTTTCACAAAAATTACGAAAATTTTCTCAAGAGTGGGCGGAGCCGGCCCGACCGGGCCGGGCCGGGCCGGCCCGGGATTTGGCAAGTCTGACTTATTCTTTAAATGACTTTAAAATGACCATTGGCCGGCAATAGCCATTGGTCAAGTAGAATACAATATACTAGGTGGGGGGATCTTTTCTATGCGCGATGCAAAAAGCCTCCGAAGACAGTCTTTCGGGAAACAACTTGGCCACTCGGTTCCATAGGGCAAGATGGGTATGCAAGAAGAGTCATGGGGTTGGCCTAGGGAGGAAAGATGATACGGGTAACGGAGGGGAGACGCCGGGTTTGAGGAACAAGTTTAGGGAGGGGAAATGGTTTTTGTGAGAAATTTGGGAAATATAAATCCCCCACGTTGATCTTCACTTTAAAAATATGTTACTTTTTAGTGCACCTCACCTTTAAAAATATTTTTTAAAATTTTCTCCAAATCGTGATACACGATCAATCGACGCTGTTTGACAATCTGCAGACTTCTCTTTAAACAACTTAAACTCTACTTAAACTCTTAAACTCCTAAACTCTTAAACTCTTAAACTCTTAAACAACTTGTACTCTTTAAACAACACTTTAAACAAATTAAATTGTAGGATCTCGGAATGAACCATGGCGTTCTTGGAGAATCGTTCGAAACTTCTGTGCCCTGGGACAAAGTACTCAGTCTCTGCCGGAACGTAAAAGATTTAATGCGACGTGAAGCAAAAAATCAGGGCGTGAAACATCCTGTTCTGGCCAGCTGTAGAGTCACGCAAGTCTACGATGCCGGAGCGTGTGTCTACTTCTATTTCGGTTTCAACGCCAAAGACCTACCGAACGGTCTTCAGGTGTATGATAGAATTGAGGTATGGTCTACTATAAATCTCGAAATAGAAACCACAATTCGCCGATATATCGCGGTAGTATGGCGTTTTTTAGCAAGCAGCAAAAACCCATTAGCTCAAACTGGGCCGAATAGGCTGGTCAAACAGGCGCACGGCCCGGCAATTCATACAATGGCCGAGAAAAATGCGTGGATTAAATACTCAGCCCAGCGATTTCGCTGCTGTGGACTTGCGTCGAAAGTATACAAGAAAAAAAACACGTCGAAAGTATACAAGAAAACATGATTTTGACAGTAATTGCAGACATTTTCGACTAGAATTGATTTTTTCATTTCTCGGCAGTTACACTTCCAAAAATACATTTCTCGGTATCTCTAGACGTTCTATGTGTAAAAAATGTTAGAAGTATATAATAAAAAAAAAATGAAAACTACGAATACATGAAAATATTAGCGGAGATTCGTAGGAAACGCCGGCGGAACTCGAGGCGAACTTATGAACGGAGTTCCCCTAGCCATAATTAGCCCTAAATTTATTAATTCGGGGAGAATTGTGTCTTCCAATTTTTATTATATTTGAGAGGAGAGTTTCCGGCGCATATCCTTTCGATGTAGAGCATTCACATGCCAGCGTTCTGAATTGACGATAATCAGCGTTCTGACTTGTTGATGAGAGTGTTGACTCCACGCAATAACCGGATCGGGTCCATGCCTTGCAGGCTTCTTGGACTTGGCTTGAAACATCTTTGATCCAAGTTTAGAGGCTGGAAAAGCCGAACTTTTTTTGAAAATTGCGGCCTTTTCGGCCTTACACCCTTATATCTCGTGGAAATTCTTGAAAAATCGAAAAAAAAAGTTGAGATTTTGATCATAGAGGGCTTTGATTTTTTGCTAAAAGTTTCTCACTATTCTATTCGATGATTTGAGCCAGGACTCCGATCGATGTAAGGTTTCTGAAGACGTCACGGAGCAGAATTCTCGATTTTTAGTGAATGTTACAAAAACTTCGATAGAAAAAGTAGAGATTTTGTTCACAGAGGGCTCTGATTTTTTGCCAAAAGTTTCTCACTCTTATATTTGATGATTTAAGCCAGGACTCCGATCGATGTAAGGTTTCTGAAAACGTCACGGAGCGGAAATCTCAATGTTTAGCGAATGTTACAAAAACTTCGAACTGTTACAAAAACCTGTGAAAATTAATAAAAACTGAAGTAAAAGTAAGGTAATGTATAAACTTCAATGACAAAACACGAATGAATCATTTAAAACTGCCAGATAATCTTTTATAGCAGATAATCCAGTTCGTGTGTTGAAAAAACACACGTGGCCGAAGTTTCGCAAGGCGCAAAATTTTCTCGGCCAATGTATGAATTGCCGGCCCGTGAGGCGCCTAATGCCGCGTCCAATGTCTCGGAAAAACCGTAAAAACCGCAGATTTTTCTGTCCAAAGTCGGCCGAAATTTGCGTGAAAAACGGGGGTGTGCACAGCTCAACGAATGTAACCATACCCCCGCCCTTGACCTGGACTTTTGAACCACTTGCAATATTCCGATCAGACCCAAACTTTGCAGGATTGTTGGACTTGGATTGAGGGCCATTGGGTCCAAGTTTCAGCCCGATCGGATCGTCGGGTCCCGAGATATGTGGATCATTGGCCGATTTTTTCCAAAAAGCCCGGGCTTCCGACCAATTTCGGCCAATGATCCACATTTCTCGGGACCAAATAATCCGATCGGGCTGAAACTTGGTCCCAATATGAAAATTAACAGCGCCGTACTTTTTTATGATCCACCTTCAAAACGTGCGTTGTGACTGTGGCAATTCGATATTAATCTGATTAGAAAGTTACCAATCTCATCGCAACCTAATCAGATTAGGCTATTTTTTCTTTGCGCAATCGAGATTTGAGCCAGCAAAGGGTGGACGTGAAAACTGATTTGAGCACTTTTTAATCTAGATAGAAGATTTATTAATGTATCTAGACAATTTACTAATCTAATTAGGTGTCGTATTAACCTAATTAGGCCCTATAACTCGAGTAGACTACTATTAGATTAATAACGAAATGCCAGAGGTTTCTTCTGCAATTTTGCCACGTTCTTCTCTCGCGCTCGGAGTGAGCTGTTCTTGCACAAAAAATTACCGGAAAGGTTTTCAGACAGCTGCTCGCGATGAAATAATAGCTTGTGGTGGAAGTATTTCGCATCATCACGGAGTTGGAAAAATTCGAAAACAATGGATGCTTACAACCAATGGCGCAGTTGGAATAGCTTTGCTGAAAGCTATCAAAAGCGAACTTGACCCAGCAAATATATTTGCAAGTGCTAATCTAATTGATATTATTGGTTCGCCCCACTCGAAGCTTTGATCGTGATCACATTATTTTGCCCACTCCTCTGGTAAACCGAGTTCAGTCTAATTTAAGTTAGTTTCGATATTTTGAAGTTCAACTATTTAGTTACACTTACACTTTGTCAAGTCTAATTAGTTAAATTACGATTCTATCTACTGTTGAAAAAAAAGGTTCGACATAAGAATCGAATCTGGCAGCGTGCCAAGGCCCTGCCTCCCAAACGCATATGCTGCGCGCGATTGTTGCAACATGCCGCACGCTTTATTGTTCTTCGCTTCGTCTTTTTTTTTATTTTTCGGCTGAAAATCAACAGAAACTTCGGTTTTTCTCATTTTTTACCCGTATTTATTCATTTCAATCGTCTTTTGCTATAAAAAATCAACTTTGAAAACAGATTTATCGACTTTTAGCTTGAATTTTCGAACATTTATCGATTTCTGTTTTTCTCCTTTCGATTTCGCTGAATTTGAGAATTTTCAGGTCTTCCACCGTCGGAAAAGTCGAACAAGCAACAAATGGGCATGGATTTCTTCTTTTCGTGTTAGTTTTTGACGTAACAATAATTTTCTCTCCGTCAGCGTTTACAGACTCCACTCCTCCGCCGTCAGCACAACGGAAAGCTGAAGAAGCATCTCCCGATGGATGAATTGGCACTAATAACAATAATTTTAAATGTATTTATTACGTTTTCCAATAAATTAAATGACATGACATGTGTAAGAATTTTATTATCAGTTATATTCTATTTTCTTCTCCTTTTTTCCGGATTGAAGTGTCCACGGACTCCGAAAATACGGTCGGAGAGAAAATAATTTCGTTCTTCTTCAAGCTCTTCTTCAACACGACAGCTTTTTGTATTCCGTTGTGTGCTGACGGCGGAGGAGTGGAGTCTGTAAACGTTGATCGGAGAGAAAATTATTGTTACGTCAAAAACTAACACGAAAAGAAGACTGCCCTTTTGTTGCTTGTTCGACGAAAATTCTCAAATTCAGCGAAATCGAAAGGAGTAGTATACAAAAAGTTGTCACTGGACGGTCATTTTGCCCAAACTTGATTTTTGCACTATTTTGTGCTTTTTAGACTCATTTTTTAACGAATAAGTGTCTAAGCTCATCGAAAATCAGTCATTTTTGAAAAACGTCACTTTTTGGGCTGGATGTAGAAGTGACCATTTTGCCCACTTTTAATTTTTCACTTGTATTTAACATTTTAAGGCTTAATTTCAACAATTTTCAAAAATGGTGGGAGGTGTACTTTGTAGTTTGTAGTTTATAAAAATGATAATTAATAAATGCGCTTTTCAAAAGATCTAAAGCCTTTAACAAATCTGGATCTCCTTGAATTTGTAGACTCTCTGGGAATCAAGAATTTCCGTGGTGTATTTATGCGAGATACTTTGCCAGCGAAGCCGAAAGATAAAGAAGTAGGCATTGTAAATTTAGATTCTTCTAGTGGTAAAGGTACTCATTGGGTTTGTTATTCCAAAAACAAAGATAAAATATTTTTTTTTGATTCTTTTGGGCTGAATCCACCAGAAGAAATCATAAAATATCTTAAAGATAGAAAAGATAGAAAAATAGAACTTTCAACATTTCAACTTCAAGAATTCAATACACATCATTGTGGATACTATTGCGTGTTATTTCTAAAGTTATTAGAATCGAATGACTTCAAAAACACTTTTTATCACTCCTAAACTTATATTAGTTCAAGAAGAATCACAAAACTCATAGAACTTCTGGTTTGATATGGGATGTTGATTTTATTTTCTATTTCTCATTTTCATGCTTAAATGCTCGAAAATGTGTCATTTTTCACAGTTTTAGAAATATCAAGGATGGCGATTTTAGAAAGAAAGTGGTAGTCTCTTTTTGGAACCGCTGAAAGTGGTATTATCTCTGAAGATAAAAAATAAGCTCAATAAATGAAAAGGCATAATTATTTTATTTAAACTTAAACGTTAACATAACACACAAGCAGATACAAGCACAATAAACAATAAAAACTTGTGATTAATTTAACTTTCCTTGTCCGAACATCCTAAAAAATTAAAATAAATTTTATTTAAAATCAATTAAACCAAACCTTGATTGTGGACGGTGTGGACGACAGCGATTCCCAAAATGCGAGCATATTTCTGTTCCGCCGATGACTCCAGACACTCACGAATCGTTGTGTCAATATGCACACCGGGTGCACCACCGAGTAAAATCCCCGTCAAACATCCTGAGCTGTTGATAATCGGCGCTCCAGAATAACCACGTCTCGATCCAGGAAACCCAACTAAACAATTTGTTTTATCATGATGAATTATTAAAAATAATGATAATAAATAAATGAAGCATAATCATTCTTACTTAAGTGAATTTGATCGTCCATCATTCCTTCCATAATCCCTTTTGCAACAGACGGTTTTGAACTCACAATGCCATTGGGATACCCCTAAAAAAAATAGTTAATAATATTAAAAATAGAGATTTTCTGCAAATTTTATAAACTCAAAAATAAAGTCATACCATAGTCACGTATTTGTTTCCTCGATAAAGTTGATCGATTGGCGTTCCGCATTCAGGCAAATCCGTCGACTTGAGCACAGCAAAATCATATTTTTTCGAAATAAATTCGCATTTGGCACAGAAGCAACGATCATTTGTTCCTCGGATGGTATAATTCTTGTCGATCTTGAAGCGGAGATGTGCAGCGGTTAAAATTTGTTGATGCGATATTAAGATTCCAGTGCCTTGCATAGCATCGCCAGACACCATGAAGACTCGGTCCTCCCATTCATTGATTATTTTCTGGGTTCCTAAATTATTGTTTTCAAGCATTTATTAGAAATATATCATACGTTCAACTTTTTCCAATTCCACAGACATCGGTGTGGCTGGCCGCGATCTTCGGGCTTCTTCCCATTGTAACTCGAACTCCTTGCCGACCCAATCATTTTCCAACTCGAATAAATCCTGTCGACATCTAAAATTTTACATTAAAAGTTTGTTCAAAATTTTATTTAAAATTGCTAACGGAAAACCGTAGTATCTTAACAAAACCTTCAAAAACTTACTTTAAAGCTATGCCGCCCCTGAATAGACCAATCGGTAAATCAGCTTCAAGTTGGAAAGCAGAGCGAAGAGTTTCTTTGCTAACTTTTCCATCATCATCAGCAGTGACTTTGACAACTCGATCGTTCGCTTGAACAACAATATACTGAAAATAAGATTATTGACTAGTAAGATAAAACATAAACAAAACATACCGACTTCATTTTGCTAACAGGTTTGATGAAAGAAATTAATGAGCCTGAAAAAATCCATAATTAATAATTTTTCAAACACTAAAAAAGAAGATAGCTTTTAAAATGGAAAAGTTTTTTTGAAATTTCATCCGAATGCAATAAATCGAAATGTTTTTATGTAAATTCTTACTTTTTTGATGGAAAATTATTTTTAAAAGTAGAACAAAATGCCAAAAAAAGAGAAAGCACAACGATAATTACGAAACCAACGCGAACTACAGAAAAAGGGAAGTCTCAAGTTAAGGAAAGAATGCGATGTTGGCAGATTCTCTCCATCCTCTGCGTCTCTGCCCACAAACACGTCTCTGCCTTCACTCTAGCCCAACTCGTTTGCGTTTCGCGTCGCGTGTGTGTGTCTAGTCAACTGGGGCAAATGTGTGATTGAGCTCGGTCACAGTGAGGAAGAGAAAAGAAGGTCACACAAAGAGAAAGGGAACACTGCTGACCTTTATACGTCACACCAAAGGATCTGAAAGACATTCAGCGAAAGCAAGCTTCCTTGAAGTGCCTAGTGAAGGAAAGAACTTAATTGTAAATGAGAAATAGAGAGAACTCGATGATTTTGTCACACTCGAAACTTCTCGAAGGTGCTGGCAAACAGGTATGAAAGGACAAAGTGTCTCATTTGAGAAAGATTAACGTCGCAGAATTTCTTCAGTTTTTGTGTTGTTATTTCATTTTCAAGATGATTTTTTTTAAAAAGTTCAATATTTTCTTATAAGATGGAGGATGCTTTTCGTGTCATGAAATCTATACTTCTCTACTACTATATGTACTATATACTACAATCTATAGAAAGTGTAAAAGTGAACAGAAAGAGCTGGTAAGTCTTTTTTTTTTGTATGATACACTAGATTATTCTTTATTTGCAGGTTTTACTACAACATCAATTTAACGAAATTGATGAATCTCTTCGATCAGTGAGAGATGTGTTCAATAACCAGAGATTTTAATTCTTTAAGATTTTATTATGTTTAACGAGAAGAAAGATTCAACGAACTACTAAAGGTGAGTAATCAACGTCTTCAGAATAACAACAAAGAATTTAAATGAATAAGATATATTTCAGCAGGAAATGTTGAATGAGCATTCGAAATTCTGAGACAACAGTCTAAAAAATGTAACGACTTGAAGAATCTTTTCCGGAAGGGGAGAAAGTGAATAATCATTTGATTTTTGTTGTTAATTCTTTCTTATTTCATGTTTGTTGTTATTTCATCTTCTTGTTTTATTTTGAAAAAAACAAATATCTTGTTTGATTGAAGCCAAGTGAAAAAGTTAATACCTCGGAAGAGGTAGCCATGTTTGGGGTTCATGGCTAGGTGGAAGTGAATTCACTTTCTAGTGAAGACATCCATTTTCACTGAACGTCCCCCATTTCACAAAATCAAATAAGATATTTGTAGCCAAAAAATTTTAACTTCTAAATTATGGAATTGGTTTACTGTTTCAAATGTAAAAAATATACTGATACTACTGACATATTTAATGTTGAAACAAGCTCGAAACGTTCTATGATAAAAGGGTTATGCCAAGATTGTAAAACAATGAAGTGTAAGCTAATTCCAACAATCACAGGAGGTTCTGGATTAGAAGATATCAAGGAGGTTGAAATTAGTGAAAAATCTAAAATTCTTAGACAACCCACAAGTTCCGAAGGTGAAAGAGATCTTTTAGAAAAAGCTTATTATTCTCCTAAAACAGGTTTCTGCGGTATCAATGAACTATCAAGAGTAGCAAAGGTGTCACAGAAAAAGGTTAAAGAGTTCCTGAATGAACAAGATGTTTACACTCTTCATAAGCCAGCTCGTAAGAACTTCAAGAGTCAAAGAGTTTACGTCAGTGGAATAGACGATCAATGGCAATCAGATCTTGTAGAAATGCAAGTGTATTCAGATGAAAATGGAGGATACAAGTATCTTCTAACTGTTATTGATTGTTTTAGTAAGTTTGCATGGGTAGTACCTCTTAAGCGTAAAAGTGGTAAAGAAACTGCAGATGCTTTGGAATCTATCTTTACAAAGAGTAAAAGAAAACCCAAAAAGATGCAAACTGATAATGGTAAGGAGTATTATAATAAAGAAATGAATAAATTATTCAAATCATTAGAAATCAATCACTTTTCAACTTATTCAGATAAAAAAGCTTCAATAGTTGAAAGATTTAATAGGACTTTGAAAGAGAAAATGTGGAAAATGTTTACTCACCAAGGAAATCATAAATGGATAGACATTCTTGATGACCTTGTAAAGGGGTATAATAATCATTTTCACTCTAGCATTAAAATGTCCCCCATGCAGGCTTCAAAAATAGAAAATCAAAGTATTGTTTACAACAATCTTTTTCCTAAAGAGAAAAATCTTTTCTCAAAGGAGAATAATTTTTTTCCTAAAGAAATTGAAAAGGAAGAAATTCAAAAAGATTCAAAGGCTTTAGACAAAGCTAAATTCAAAATAGGTGATACTGTCAGAATTACAAAATATAAAGCTATTTTTGATAAAGGATATCTACCAAATTGGAGTACAGAGCAATTTAAGATTTCTGAAGTTCTAATAGGTGATCCAATTATGTATTCAATAAAAGATTTAGCAGATGAAGAAATTAAAGGAAAATTCTATGAAGAAGAACTTACACTTTATAATAATGTCAAAGAACAATATAAAATAGAAAAAGTTCTGAGGAAAAGAAATAGAAAGGAAAACGGTAAGATGGTAAAAGAAATATTTGTCAAGTGGTATGGATATCCAGATAAATTTAATTCTTGGATTCCTGAAGAAGACTTAAATGCTTAAAACCTTAACTCTATTATCCTTGACTTCAACAATATTTTCACTTAGAATTAAGCAATAACATTTAGTACTTTGAGCAATGTTTTTACCAAAACTCGCCTTTATTGTCACATCTGGTCTAGATGCAATAATTCTATCATTCTGTTTGGAAACATCGAATACTAGAAGTGGATAATAATAATAATAAACATCTTCTTCCATGAAAATGTAATCCTTCACTGATTCATAATAACTGTTCCTAAATTCTTTAGCAAAATTGTATTGTTGAACTGCATTAAATTTATCAAAGTCAAACTTCAGACATTCATATGGATATCTTTCTGAATTTAGTTCTACGTAAATTTCTTCAAGTCCACAATTATCGAACTTTGCAGCATTTAGATAGTTATTGTCTCTAGCAGTTTGAAATGCTATGACTATGTATTTTATCTTATCGTATTTAGTTCCAAGTTTCCAAGTAAATTCGCGGTTTCCATTAGGAATATTATAACTCTCAAATTGACGAGATATAAAAGGCATTTGCACTAATTTATTACTTTCAAATAGATTAAGAAGTTTGTTTTGCATCTCTAAGGAAGGCATAATTTTAGGAATTATCCATTGCATCTTGTTTATCACTATCTTAGCAGTAAATTTAGTAGGATCTGATGAAGTAATACTATTCTTATTTTCTGGAGATCTGTAGAGTGAAAGAGTGTGTTTTCTTCCGTAAATTATTCGATTGTAACACTCCGAGAATCCAAAAATATGAGTCAGTGGAATACAGAAGGTTAGTAAGCCTTTTCTATTTTTAGTGTATTTATTTATCTTATAATTCATGATATCCCTAGTCTCGAGGATCCAACCAAAAGTATTTTGTTTATTCATCGTTGAAGAATAAGTGAGGAGGCCTTTCATAAGTGAAGCTCTTCCAGGATCAATGACATTTTCAACTTGCATACCATCCATACTATAAGTTGCTCTATCAAATAAAAACATTGGAGCATTATTAGTCAATGTAACTTCATCACCTTCATTCAGTGCTGTAGAGTCTAATTTAGTCAAGGAAGCTTCTAAGTAGATGTAAGATTTATGTAGTAGAAGGTATTGATCACAAGTTTCTATGATAAAATTAATTTCTCCATGTTGATTTAAACTACTACCACTAGAGGGGAATATGCTAATCAAATTTTCTTTTTGAATACTTTGATCTTGAATAATTGGACTATCAACAATTAGTATTCTGTCTACTGCTTCAACAGTCATTTTTATCTTGAGAATTTCAACTTGCAAAGAAAGTCAGGATAATTTTTCAATTTATTTAAAATAAATTTTCTGAAGTAAATGAATCTATTACAATTCTATTTCTTTTTAACATTTACTCATTATGATATTTTGGCAGCTATTATATGTTCTTCTGATGCTCCAGTTCAATATTTTAGATTACCGAAATTACATAGATGCAATTATCATAGACAATTGAATGAAAAATCAAAAGTAGTAAGTTATGAAGTCTTCAAACCGAACATTATCGAATATTCAAGTGAAGCTAAATTGTGTAAGAAATTAGTTAGTGAAGTTTCAATGTATACAGATTTTTCTGGATATGAGCATCTAGTAGAAAAGGAATTGAATCATAGAAGTATAAGTCTTGCAGAATGTAGAGAATGGATTGCAAATAAGAAATGTGAATTTGGCACATTGAGTAAAGGTAAAGAAGGAATATCAGATTCGAAGAATCCTAGATCTGGAGGATTGTGGAGTACTAATAATAAAGTTGAAGTAGATTATCCTAATCGATTTACTAGTTTCTTTACAAGCAAAAGATATTACAAAGAGAATTGTGTAATTATTGAGACTAAGGTATATTCTCACTTTAACCAAAGTAGACCATCTAATGTGTTAGCAGATATGTCAGAGTGCAAATATCAGGATGGTTCTTGTCCAATAAAGAAGAATGAAATTATGATTTGGGATGTCAATACTTCCCAGAATTGTCAATATATTTCAATTGGAAAATTAGATGGAATCATGAATAATGGACTGTGGATAAATAGTAAAAATCAAATTGCTCTGAGTTTGAATAAAAACAAAATTGTGAGAGATTGTAATCTTGATCTCTTAATTAGTGAAGAAGGTTTTGCAGTCAAGGAAATTCAAAAACTTCCTTCAGAATCGAAGATTCCTAGATCCACAGGATTGACACAACAAGCACTAACATCAACACCTAGTCTTCAAGAAATGAGTATTAATCCTCAGAAATTTCAAAAAGAAAGAGAAGAATATTATAAAAGACAACAAGAACAAATCCAAAAGGATCGAGAACTTCGTGAGAAACTCCAAACGGAAAAAGACAAAGGAGTAAGAGATAAATACGAAGCTGATCGTAAAGAATTTGAGAAGAGAAGAGAAGAAAAAATGAAGCAATATCTAGAGTTCGAAAAGAGAAAGAAGGAAAAAATAGAAAGATTAGCTAAAGCATCTACAAACGTTGAAAAAGTTGAAAATACTACCAATAGGATCAAAAGATCTACAAAGCGGAAGCAAAGCTTCCTAGAAGCAAATCAAAGTTTAGAAGACACTTCTAGGCCTTTTCCATTACCTACTTATGAAGAATACTCAAAGATTAAAAATGATTGTTTACTGCTTCCAAGTTATGCTGATTACCTAAGGTCTAAAGATAAAGAAATCTCCGATTTCGTCAAAACTAAA